CATAGCCTTTGACTGCTCCAAAATCTGAATCAACCCCAGTCTGTGTCCATGAGCCTTTTGCAATTTGGTCTCAGAGTAAAGAAAGCAGGAAATGTCACAAGAATCAGAGACAGAATATCTTGATTTATAAAAATAAATCAAATTCAGTTCAGTTGCATAGCTACTATTTATCGGTTTACCAATGACTAATTTAGTAATGAGCTACTAAACAATGACCAATGATATTATTAACATTTATAGCTCTTTATACGAAAATCTAGTGGGTTACCATTCTGGCTACTGCCTAGGGACTGTGTAAGGCAGAATCATAACTTAATGCAACCTCATAAGTGACAGACTGAACACTATATTGGCAGCAAATGCTTCTCACATAAAGTAAACAAGAAACTTGATTCACAAGTGATTTCAGTAGAGTTTAGCATTAGCATGTTGATAAGATAACAATGTGATACTCCAATACCCATACAAATAATTGCATAAAAATAATGGCACACTCTCCAAAACCTTAACTCTCTCTGTTCCTCTCTGGTGGAATGAGAACATCACATGTTTTAGGAAGACGCAGCTCTTCTCCGCAAGCACACAATGACCTCACACTCTTAAACCAATGCACAGACACACACACACACACACACACACACACACACTAAACCTGTCTAACAAATCTGGCATTTTGTACTACAACGATTGTACAATGCTCTTTGATGAATGCTTTGTTCTTCTGTAAGTCACTTTGGATAAAGGCTTCTGCTAAATGCATACATGTAATGTACACATACATTGCATATTGAGTAAAATAATCAAATTTTTATCAGTACTTGAGGTATTGAATTATCTCACTTCATCATTCAACAGAAAGTATTTCAGAAGTCAACATAATTACTACGAATGCACCGATATTGACATTCTGACCAATACCGATTGTCAATTACTGATAAATGGAACAGATTAAAATTCAATAATATTTTGGCGGAATAATAAATATAAAACACTAAAAACTAAAATCAATCGATTTAAATGCAAGTGCATTTGAGAATCACAAAATTGTAATGTATGGTTTAAAAAATTAACATTAATTTTATAAAAAAAGAAAAGAAAAATAATTGTGATTCTGCAATTCTGACTTTTTTCCTCCAAATTGTGAGATATAAAATCGCAATTGCGAGATATAAAATCGAAGATATAATAAATTGCGAAGATATAAAATCGCAATTTCCCCATCTCAGGGGAAAATAAGGGAATAAGCCATGACCATTCAAAAATATGACTGGGTTAGATACAAAGCTTAATGCAAATGGGTGAAGTGTCCCTTTAAGTCCAAATTGCGAGTTACCGGTATAAACTTCCAGCAAGCTTCCATTCATTCCAAATAATTAAGATTAGCACTTTTTGGAACAGCTTTAGTGTTGGGAGACTATGATGCATTAGAATGCTGCCTACGTATAGGCAGCTCACTATATTTTTCAACAGACTCTACATTACATTATATGGGTGTTGATCTTTAGGCATAGAAGCATACATCATTTTGACCATATAGTGCAGTGAACATAAGATTAAACAGAGACAGAGTCATCTGGACGCATTCCTGCTCAACATAATCTACACAAATTCAAAAAATTAATACACATCTGGAACAGAAAATAAATTCAGGCCTCCTTTGTGTGATTCATTCTAAAGAATTCCAGTTTGACAGTGTATTTCGTCCACTTGAGCCAGCTAAAATAGTTATAAAATGAAATGATTAATGGTTCTTCCCATCCAAGAGGCATAATAAGATTCATTAAAGCATTCTTGAATGTTGCTTAACTGCTCATTATATCTGATGGAGTAAGTGCTTTTGGAGCGCACACCTGTGATGCTAACATTTCTGAAAACATGCATAGATGAGCAGGTCACAGATTTTAAACATGAAGGTTGAACTTGGAACGTTAAAATATTTGAAAACTGCTCTTGCGATTGACAACCGTTGTGTCCTTCTTCAACAAAATGACACTTTATCTTGTAACAGCTGCCGATGAAGTATGCATCCATTGACAACGTGGTTAATCTGACATGCTAGGAAGTCAATTAAAAGAAAATCAAAAATACCTATTTTTTCTCACAATAAAAGTGCTTTCTACTTACAATATAATTGTTTTGGATATGTAACACAAGGTCACTTAATGTTTGAACTTTAGTTTTATGATATATATTATCTAATTGAGTAATGCTAAGTTCCAATCATTTGGTTTGGCAAATAAATCTCGTAATTTACATGAGCTTCTCTGTGCATCTTCTAGAAGAATCCTAATCTTTAAAGGGTTAGTTCACCCAAAAATGAAAGCCTATATTCAATCTGTTCATCATATAAAGCGACCGAGTCTCTTCAGACTAAAACAACTCAATTCATATGGATTAGTTTTACGATCTCTTTATGAACTTTTTGAAGCGTCATAGTACAGCTGTCAACGGAGGGACAGAGACTTCATTTGTTTTCCGAAGATGAATGAAAGTCTTACGGGTTTGGAACGACATGAGGGCGAGTAATTGATGATAGAATTTTCATTTATGGGTGTAGCGAGCAGGTTGATCAAATACACTGTAAAATCCTGTGAGGAGATGCTGAATGACCTCAGCAGGAAGGATTGCGGTGGTGAACTGAACCTAGAGACTCTGTGTGTGTAGGATGATGATGTCCCTTTCTGAACTCACTCAGAACCATGACACAACATGGAAAGCATGACCCGACATGGACAAAGCATTAAAGAGACCATCAGAGCATTTTACCATCCTTACAGAGCCGACGTGGATGAGAAGCCCCTTATAAACTGCTGATTGATTCATCCACCAATTGAAAAATTAAACATGGAAAAGTGGCATTCATGAATGTTTTGTGACTATACTAATGCCAATACTTTTTCTCAGTTCTGGATTCTACTGTTTTTCAGCCATGGAATCATCTGAACAAAAGCCAAATGCTGTCTGAATCGTCAGCCAAAAAAATGACAATTCATTGTCCAAAAATTACATTTAATTTCATCCTTAACTTTTATGAAGCAGTTAACCACATTTCCACTTTACAATTACTTTGACAAATTGGGGAAACAACAATTAAAACTAATGTCAAAGGCAAAGACGCTTTAACACTGCCCCCTAGCTATTGGTTGAGTTGTTCACTGCACACACAGTTAATAAGCTACTCGATTTTAGCCTATATTTATATTATATTTATAATATCCTCTTAGTACCTACATAAAAATTGGGGTTTTACACTAAACTGACCTAAATATTCAGAAGGCCTATCAGAATTTTATTTAAAAAAAAAAATATATATATATATATATATATATATTCAACTCATGTTTTCCACAACAATATTCAACAATGCAGTGGGAAAAGGTAGTTAAATTAATATCAGGGATTAAATACATAGAAACAAGAAAAAATAAACAGATAATAATATGAAGCATCAATCCTTTAAATACGCATTAAATACATAGTTTATATGTCTATTTTCAAATGTAGATAATACTACAAACTTTCCTTGAAACAACTGGAAGCTCTCTGCAATTGAAGACTGAACGATGGAGCCTCAACTAGTCAACATGATTTTTAAAGTCTGGGCTTAGACACTCTAAGCCCAGACTTTAAAAAGACAATTGACTAGAGTATTTAATTTAATTTTTCATTAAACTAGCTATAAGTAAACTTATGTTTCTGAAAACAAAATCGTCATGTTGGAAGCGAGAATTACACAGGAGATGAACAAAGGAGAAGAGGAAAATAACCGGCTCAGCTCTGCAGATGCTGGAGGCACTGCATTAGATTTTACTTTACTATTTGTAAGTGTTTGTTCAGTTAAACAAGACAATTATTAACAGCAATGATGTCTTCTTCTGGGTAGTAGCTAAACTTTGCAGAGTGTTTATTTCTTCCAAAATCAAAAAAAAAAAAAAAAGAGTGATTGTTGTCATGGATACAATAGTTTTTACCTAATAACATGATCTCCAGTTTTTTCCGGTCCACTCGAAACCTCTCCTCGGTCCACTCGGGGTCCGGAGGTGCTGTGGGTCCGCTGGAGTCATCCTCAGACACGGGCAGAGGGGAATCAGTGCTGCGCTCGCTGTTGGAGCCCGGATCAGACTGCTGTAAGTATCCGCTTAAGGGTTCACACTGAGCGGCCATGACTTTCACAGAGCACCGCTGACTCTCCGCAGCCGTCAGATCAGATCATTCTCGCGGAGAGTGAGCGCCAGTCATCGCGGCCACGGGCTCTGTGTGAGTTACACTGACCGGAGGAGTATAAAGTGAGGGAAGGCAAAAGTTGAGCGCCGCCCTTTGTTCAATATGAGCCAGAAGGGGGTCTGTCTGTGGGTTCTAAAATGTTGCGAGCCGGTTCAGAGTCAGCTCAACCCATGATGCCCCCATATATGGTGCAAATGTCCAAAACAAATGAACAGTCAGAAAACTATTTAAAATAGTGTCTTAATAATAAAAAATGAAAAACGAAATATATCAAATTGTTATCTTTATGTTTGTATTTTATTATTATTAACACTGGGGACGTTAAAAAAACAATATAATAACAATGTAATATAATATAGTTTATTAGGCTATAGTAAACAGAAGTTGTAAAATACAGTTTATATATTAATAAGACAACTATGACACAATTTAAGACCATATGATACATATTGACTAAACATTTTACATGTGATAAATGAATTAAATATTATTTATTCAATAATGTAATGTAAATAAAATAACCACAGTATATAAACAGTATATTATAATATAGCCTAATACAAATAATACAGTAAGTTTATTATAAACAAGTATTTATAAAATATAACTATTTTACAGTTTAGGCTAATAAGACAATTGTAACACCATAAAATACATGAGATAAGTTTAGACTATAAATACATTTTACATTAAAATAAATAATTCAATATCATCATAAAATAACAGTTTATAATATAATAATATCGTCTTTTGTGACTTGATACCTATATTTACTTTCTGAATCCGTATCACGTGACCCATGATGCTTCTGCAAGGATGTAGCTTTCAGCTGGACGAATTTTAAAGATATGAATTTCAAGTACGTACTGTCTTTATTTTCACTTAGATGTACTCAAGGAAGCCGTATTCCTTTCTTTATTCCAAAATCTGGCAATGCAAATTATATTACGTGGTATTAAAGACTTTGTGTTGTTAGCTTAGTATGCTATCAAAATGGAGGCGCGCGCGTCTTAAGTGTAATGTCAGTGAGCGCGCAGCAGCTGTGTTTACATGAGCGTTTGTTTTCCCATAACCGTCTGACGCTCTCTTTACCATTGTATCAGTCTGGGTAATCATGTATGATGCCCAATACAAATGTCTAGGGTTGGTGTTTTCAGTAAGTGTTTCTGGGTTGTGGCAGGATGTCTGAACATGGAGATGGGGATGGAGAGGGGAGCTCATCTGCTGCTTTCAGAACATCATTTGCTGTGGGTAGAGGACTGCCAGCCCGAATATCACTGAATCCCCCTCCGCCAGGCAGACTGACCTCTTTGCGCTCCAGAGATCTGACCCTGGGTGGATATAAAAAGGTCCCACCCTCTAATGTCAATGGTTCAATATCAATTATGTTTTTTGTGCTACTCTGTTTTTTTGAAATGCAAAATATGTTACATAAATAGATGCATCATGTTCATTTCAACATTAAAAGAATGCTCATATCTAGAAACTCTACACTTGACTCACTGAGTATTTCCCCCCACAGAAAACCTTTGTACCAAATGTTCACTCTGTTCGCAAAACTAAAGATGAGTAAGTATTTTCAACATCATTACCTTTATTTGTAGTACTTATGTTTTATAGTTGGGAGGCAGACATCCTGTAACTACGGCTACTAAAGTGTAAAAAAAAAAAAAAAAAATTTAAGTACATGTATATATTAGGGGAGTAAATTGGACATTCCATGATACGATCTGACATTTACTCTCTTAGCCAGCAATGCAGAATTTGCTGATACCTCTAAACTTGTTGTTATATGATTGCGATTTGATTATATTCAGGAGCCTGTGATAGATATATTGATAATTACAATACTAACTTGTATTAACTCACAAATGCAACCAAAAAACAACATGAACAATTAATTCAACTAAAGAAAAACCACTACAACAAAATACAGTTTAGTTTTTTAAATAATAATGAATAAATAAATGAGGAATAAAGATTAAGTAGCACACTGGATCAATTTGACATCATTTTATAACAGTCAATCAAGTTGTAGTATATTATAGATTTATAAAAATGTATATCGATTTTTACGCATTGCATCGATACATATCAGTGCATTGATATTGTTACACCCCTAGTATGCATACAGTATATATACTGACTTCTGTTCACATTTTTAAGGTAATGATGCTAACAATGAACATGTTTTCATTTAACTAACAGAGATACATTTTTTAAATTAAGTATTGACACATCTGCAACTCTCTTTGAAAGTAAATGACAGGTGGTTCTGTCATGTAAACTGTTGTCAATGTGAACTCTTGTTTTCTGGAGGTTACATGAGGAGACTCGCACTGCACCAAAGAGAGAGAGAAGAGAGAGGGAAGACAGACAAAGAGAGAGACGGCGACGAGAAAAACCTCAGACTATTCAGTCTCACTCCATCTTTGAGCAGGGTCCTGCAGACACCTACAGGAAACCAGGTAAAGCCCACTTTTAAATCACAATTATTGACATTAGATTTGGACTGTAGAGCTTGAGGAGAACTGGCCCCTTGGTGTTGCCTGGTTTCTCCCAAGTTTTTTCTTCTTCTTTCCATTATCCATCATGAAATGAAGTTTTTCATTTTTTGCCATGAAGTATGTTTCCATCCAAAGCTGTGAATTTAAATTGTGTGCAAAATTGGAATATCGCATAAAAGCGTGTGGAAAAGCAGCGCTTTAATCCATATGTTCAAGAATACAAAATCGTCACTTCCTGGAAATTGGCACAAAATATCTATAATATAACTGTCAACTGTGGCTCTTTTTTTCATACATCACAAATGACTTGTGCCTCAGAGCAAGCAAACAAACAGAATAAACGCTGTCATGTTATCTTACGTTTGAATGCAGAAAGGAAATGTTTCAGAAAGGAAAAGACCCAGTCTAAATCTAGAAAAGCCCCTGAGGTTGTGGTTAGGGGTTTGCAAAAAATAATTACCATCATTGAGTGAAAGTTTATCATTTGCATATCATTTGTTATCTGTGCGCACAGCTGCACACACCTGAAGCACGCACAAAGGCAGGCACAATTTAGACAGCGCGCAAACACCGAATTCACCGAAAACACATTCACACAACAAAGTTGTCAAAATACCAGTCTCTGCAGGTATTCTCAAAAAACACAGTTGGTTATGCCTTCAGTGAACGTAAACAGTTGAGAAAGAAATCTGCTGTGTATCATCATATTAGATCCGTGCATTCGGTCTTAAAGTGACAGAAATGTATAAATACCTGCTGCTGTTTATGTCATTAATGTTAATCAAACAACAAAAAATATTTAATTCATACACTATTGTTTAAATACACTATTTGACATTTAGGCTGAATGATTACATGTCTGTACCTGAATATTACATTTAGACTTTACTTTATTTACAACTTTGTTATATTGTTTTATCATCTATACTTGTAATTAGTGTATTTGTTCTTATTATACCCCCCCTCGTAGCGGTAAAATGAATATTACATTTCATTAAAGTAATTTTCCTGTGTCTGATCTGGCAGGTAATTGGTGCAGCTCTAACCTGGATGGCTGTGATCCTGCACTGGTCACAAAATGCATTAAAAAGGAAAAGAACAATACTGAGGATGATGACAATGAAATTTTACAAAAACTCCAACGAGATGATGTAAGCCAAGTCACAATGACCCTTTATCATCTTGAAAGTTCATCGATAGTATATTAATGTTTTGTTTTTTTCTGGTTTAATTGAGCAGTTTTTGGATGATCCTGGATTAAAAAATGATCCCAAGCAAAGACCAATCAGACTTCCACTCCATCAGTCAAGCACATTTTTGTCAACAGAGGCAGCTAGTTCATGTAAGTTACAGTTTATGCCAGCAGTAATTTGCCAGTTAAATTGTTTGCGTGCTACTTACAGTAAAGAACTGAATCTAAGAAATTTTTGCAGTTAAAGAGAGAGCATCTGATAATGTACTGAAATCACCCAGAGCTGAGCAGAAATACCCGCTGCCATCGAGGGGAACATCTGCATTCCCGCAACAACCAACGGTTGGAGAACTTTTCCAGCAGTTAAGTGTTTCAGATCAGGAAGAACTACTGCTTATTCAACTTCCTGATACCTTACCTGGTCAACCTAAAACCTCAAGCCCAGAGAAAACAAAAAAGGACGACAAAACTAAAGACAAGCGCTCATCACAAATTAAAACTCTGGTAAGTTTACGTTTCATATTATGCCATTAAAAGGGGTCATGTCAGTTTTTTTTTCCTTTGCCATAACTTTTCATGTTTTTCCAAAACAGTTTTGACTTTTTTTTTATGAAAATATTTCTTGCCACTGTATATTACACAAGTTGATTATTACACAGATTCAGAAAGTTACATAATGCAGGTTATTTGTAATGTGTTACTCTCAACACTGCTCTTTTTTCACTAGGTTTTGATTTCTGTATATTATTAGTATGATTTCATAGCACACTCATAAAAGAGTTTGATTCCTCGTGAAATTATCCCTTCAAGGCAAATCGCATTAAATTACAAACATTTAATATGATCTTCAATGTCCCCTTTTAATGCTATGATATCATTTTTCAGGATCCGCCTGATAAAGCCGCTGTACCTTTGCTCTCTGACTTCTCAGAGGGTCTGATTGGAAAACTGCAAATTAGAAAGTCTGGTAAAGTCCAACTGGTCATGGGAAATGTTACATTAGATGTCTCAGAGGGAGCGGCCTTCTCTTTCCTACAGGTAAGTTAGCACATTGTTATTTTAGTTGCAGTGTGGCAAAATAATCTAGGAAAGATTGATAGATAAAATCAGTTGGGACTCGCTCATATTTATTTAAATCAAAGCCTTTTGAAGTATAATTATTACATCAAGCCATATACCAATTCCTGTTTTTCTGTCCTCAAATTTAAGACCTCTTGAAAATATAATTAAGACTGTTCTTCTACCATTTAAAATATGTTAGACTTTTTATGGCTTTAAATTTGATCTAAAGGAATTTAAAGGGGTCATATAATGCCATTTTTGTACAAGCTAATATGATTCTTTAGGGTCTAAATTAAAAGTTTGTAATATACTTTAATTAAAAATTCTCATTAGTATTGTAAGAAAACACTTATTTTACCTGGCCAAACACAGCTCTGTTTTCAGCACGCCGTTTCAGTGCATATGACTTTAAATGATAATGAGCTTTGCTCACCCCGCCCCTCTGTTCTATGCATACACCATTTGTAACTCAATAACACAATAACCATAACGCGTTCAGTATAAACGTGGGATTATGAATTATATTGAGAACGTCATACATAGAAAACAAGGCCTAATGTACCCTGAGTGTAAACCTTAGACGCATTCATTGTGAAGCGTGCAGCTAGCGATTTGCAAAGATTAATATATTAATATAAAGTTTAATAAAACGTTACACTCACTTCCGTTCTTCTGGAGATTCAGCAGGAACATGAATATCTGGTACCGATCCTTTTTTCATGAGCAGCTTCTTAGCAAATCCAGCTTTATACTGACCCTCGTTTATAAAGCAGTCTGGTGTGAGAAATGATTCGCGCAAACATGAGAGCATTGACGTTGCTCGTGGGGAATATTCCCTTCGAAAACAAACACAGCCACTGCGTCTTTAGCGGTTCGGATTTAGGAACATTAAAATGACTGCTGTGTTCGTTATTGCACCCAAGAACAGAACAGCACAATCGCTTAGACGCCATTCTGCTCATAGACAGTGCTCCAGCATATCAACAATGACCGCGCCGCACAGACTATGATTGACAGCTCCCTCATGAGCGAGGGCGGGTCTGTGTTGAAACGCTCCTGTCAATCAACAATCGCGGGAGGGGCGTGCGACCTTGTGACGTCACACGCTCGAACGGCTCGATTTGAGGCAGGGGAAAACATACAAGGAGATTAAAACAAAACCACTGGATGGATTTTTATCATTATATGATGGTTGTGTACAGGCACTGCCAACACACATTTCAGTACAATCAACTTGTAAAAGTGCATGTACCATTATATGACCCCTTTAAGACTTTTTATAGACCTCCAGGAACCCTGGAAAATGGTCAATAGTTTTGGTTAGGGGTGGGTGTGATATGATATGGTGATATTTTTTTCAGACAGGATCACGATCCACAATCTTAACAACATTCTTTTTAAAGTTTAAGCACAATAAGAATTGTAAGAAAACTTCAGTTCAGTACTCGCGTGTTGTGTGACAGGCTTTTAGTGTGCGTACCAGGGATGGAAATTAACTTTTTGGTCCACCGGCCACTGTGGCTGGTGGATTTCAAAATCTACCAGCCACTCAATGTTTTTACCAGCCACTTTCTTGTTTTTAACCGACAATGTGTAACTGCATGTGAAAATTAATACTACAAGAATACTTAAGCAGTTTATTTAATCTCAAGTCTCAATGAAATACTGACATTTTCTCTTTCTCTCACCCTCGGCCTCATCCACCTAATCTGTCATTTATTTTTGTTTTGATGATAAATTGAGCCAGCCTCCAAAAGTAAATAACCTGTTCTGTGATTTTTTTTTCTCTCACACAACACTCTCCAGACACGGATTTATGAGCTATAGTATGTTGGTTGCCTTTACATTAGAATAATATTTAATATAATCTAGATATGAAATGGAATAAATAGCATTCAATACAAAATGAATATGTCTCATATATTGAAATGAAGTTCTATGTGCTAAAATATTTGCTTTGTTGTGCATTAGAACCACATCAGGCATTTAATACAAAATAATTTATTGAAGCATCCAGATACTTCACCACGTGACAGCAGCTAGGCTCCTGATTGGTTAACGCGGCGCGAATTGACGCCAAAGTTCAGATTTTTCAACTCGGGCGGCAGACGCGAATTCGCGTCAAACGCGTGAATGCACAAAAGCACTCAATAAAATCATGCGCGCGGAACGCGTCAGACGCTCGAACTTGCCGCGCGAATGAGGCGTATTCGCATCTACCACGGCGCGCTCTACACCTCATTCGCGCCGTAGGAATTTTTTACGCGCGTAACGCGTCTTTGCATTGACTTAACAATGAAATCACTCGCGCCAGACGCTCTAATCTCGTTTGGTGTGAACGCACCATGATGTTTTCTCTGCAGACCTCTACGCCTGCGATGTAACGCCACATTTTTGTTTGAAGGTGTGCCTCCTCTAAAAGTGTCCGCCGTCCGGGTGAAACAGTATGCTATTTTTATTTACCCGCCACGGTGGCCGGTAGGTGAAGCGAGTTTACCCGCCACAACACAAAATCACCCGCATTTGGCTGGTGGCGGGTGCTAATTTCCATCCCTGGTGCGTACGCTTAAGGAGTAACGTTACGCGCTCAGAAAAGCTTATGACAGAACAGCGTGCGAATAAAAAGTTTAACTGGCAAGACTTTAAAATGCATACTGCTGCGTTGCTAAAAATGTGATGTGAATGTACAATATTGGGACGGGGGCGCCAGAACTGCAACTGATAGGCTGTGCACTGTAGCTCGATAATACAATCTCTCTTCAAAGGTAGCTAGTGGAGACATTTTAACATTCACAATCTAAAATCATGATTTCGCACAACCCCTTGTTCGGGTCTATCAGTGCGTCCGAAACCGCATGTTGTTTGAGTAGGTACTACTTTTCAATTTGAATTTACTTTGCGACCGGTAAAATGTACGTTCTATATACTATGAATGTAATCCGGACGTACTACATCCGCCATGTTGTCATCATCATGTGATCTACCAGCGTCAATTGTGTCGCTTCACCGCCATTTATAAATCCTCTCCCATGGCCTCATGGGATAATAAAGTGTCCATCGAATGCGCACTTCAGATTCTCGCCAAAAGTAGTAGGTCATCCGTCGACTTTTGTTTTCGAATACTATGGCCCTGTCCCAAATGGCACCCTAAGCACTCGCGGTCTTCCTATGAGTCTGCAGTTTCGTGACGCAAGGCCGCTTTGACTGTCGGGAAGACCGCAAAAGGGGGCACTCCCAAGAACTCTGCTGAAACCCAAAATGACAAATGGGACACCCTATGGTCTCATGGACTTAACGGACACGCAGCAGAAAGTGCATATGAAATGTACCATTTGGGACAGGGCCTATGTATTCGAACTTACTACTCTGTTGGCGTGCTGATTTTCGCATGCTATACAGTAGGGAAGTATTTGATTTCGGACGCAGCGTAGGTGTCAAACTATTTTTGTCCCCACTGTAGCATTCTGGATTGCCAAGCTGATATTGAAGTCAACTGGATCTGTTTTATTTTCTGAAGGACTGTATGACTGATGTAATTTACATGAAAGATGTTTCATGGGATATGATGTTTGTATCTGCAGCAACTTGTTTGTGTGCGGCTGTCGGAGGGCCTCACCGGGGACATGACTGTGCTAGGAAACATCACACACAAGCTGGTGTGTTCACCTGATTTTGAGACTTTACTGCAAGAAGCCAAATTGCCATCAGATCTCTGCTCGGCTTCAAAGTCCTGATTTTTCAAAGTCCACAAGAATATTTCAAACAAATGTAAATAACTGTTTTTAAATGTAACATTTTTAAATGAGGTTTTGTGACAATTATTATAAGACAATATTCAGCCTAATTCTGAGGCCACTTGATTTTTATTTAAAAAGGGATAGTTCACCTAACTTTTTGTCATTATTTACTCATGCTTCATGTCATTAAAAAGATTTTGGGGGAATGGAATGGAAAAGGGCAGCTTAAACATTCCTTAAAATATCTTAATTTGTTTTAAGGGCTGTTCACACCAATAACTATAATGATAAAGATATATAGAATCTATCCTGCTGTAAAAAAAAACTCTAGCATTTAAAGTGGCAGATGACAAAAAAGTATGTTTGTAAAAAGTCGTTGTAGGCGCTTATTTAATTGTCGTTCTTGATGTGAACGGGGCTTTGGACAGAATAAAAGTGATGTCAAGTAAATGACTGTTATCACTTGGGGTGAACTATTCCATTTAACATTAGAAAGCACACTTATAATAAAGTTTTCATGAAATTGTATAGTATTCTATTGTAAATACCTTCTGTTGCTTTTATATAAAATGTAAATGTTTATTTTGTAAGTAAAGACATACAAAACATGGTGTCCTCTTTCAAAGCATGATATGCAAACTCATTCTAAGCAAATGAAAACTGATGTCAGTAATACGGTTTATGGCAAGTTAATAAATGTTCTTCGAGTAGCTAAAAAGCAATATAGAAAGTAGTCAGTCACAGCTCTTCACAGGCTTCATGCTTTGAACACTATATAAATGCAGCTCTAATAACGGAAAGCACAGGCTTTTTATTGAGGACGGAACTGGCCTTTGTACAACACTCTTGTCTACCAGAGTCATACATAATCTCACTTAGTGCTCTTTACAGTCTTTTTCACAGCTGTTTCAGCAACTTTAGCCTTCTTTTTTGGCGCTTTTGCCTTTACCACTGTTACTTTGGATTTATTCTTTCTGTCTGCGATGACTTTAGCTTTGGCTTTGGCTTTGATGGATCTCCTCTCTTTTCTCCGAACAAGGTCTTCCCTTCCAATCTCAATCATGTGCTCCTCCCACGATTTTATTTCGTTCTTGTAACGGACTTTGTCATCCTCTGACAGCTGTGTGTACATCTAAAAAATGAAGCAGTTCAGTCAGATTAAGAAAACCATAGGCCACGTTCACACAGCAGCAGAATACGGTTGTCAGTCCTGTATTTGAGTCCTTAATACATTTACGTTCACACACACAGTACGCTTATTTATGGGAGTGACAACCGCATGCTTGAACAACCCGCACTGTGTGAACAGAACAGATGTGACATGGATTTGTGGTTCGATTGGACTCTTACTATAAAGTGATACGATTTTTTCAGTTCTATGGACGTCGCAATCTTTGACATCATTTTGGTCACGGTCGCTATGGTTACTGGTTGCTTGACTCCCTTTGCACATTCATACAGACCGTATTCAGGGTGTCTACAGATATAAACAAGTTAAATTTAAGACTTTTTAAGACCTTTTTAATGCCACTTTGAATAAAATTTAAGACCAAACCTGTGATGAAAATACACATTCTATTACATGCGTATCTGTAATATTTAATGTTTAACCTAAGTAATTGAAGTAATTTAATATGAACTGCTTCAATGTATGAATCAATATGAATCAATGTAACATTTATAATCGTGAGAAGATTCAGCAAAATAGCTCCTGTCATGTTATGTTAGTTACTTAACTATATATGTTATAAACAAAAAACTAAACATTGAGTTTTTACTGTAGTATGTTTTATCTTCTGTGAGTTTTTTTATGTGTGCTGTTATGCTCATTTGTTTTGATTTCTCACTAAAATCTCTCACAGAGACAGGCAGCGAGTCTCAACAGCGCTACCAGAAATACATGATCAATCGCTGTTTATCAGGGACGTGCAGAGTTCCTCAGGGGCTCAAATGTAAAAAGGGGCATATATATATATATATATATATATATATATATATATATATATATATATATATATATATATATATATATATATAAAATATATGTACCGGCCAAAAGTTTGGACACTAATGTTTTTGAAAGAAGCCTTTTATGCTCATCAAGGCTGCATTTATTTTATCTAAAATACAGAAAAAACTGTAATATTGTGAAATATTTCCACAATTTATAATATACTTATAACCTTTGATACTTTTTTCAGGATTCTGAGTTAAAAAAAGAAAAATTTATTTAAAATAGAAATATTTTGTACCAATATACACGACCGTTCAAAAGTTTGGGGTCAGTAATATTTTTTTTCTTTAAAAAAATTAAAATAAATAATGGGCTATTTTTTGATATGTGCTAAATTGATCAAAAGTGACAGTAAAGACTTTCTATTTTAATTAAATACTGTTCTTTTAAACTTTTTATTCATCAATGAATCCTGAAAAAAGTATCACAGGTTAAAAAAAACTGTTTCTGACATTCTGAAAAATCATGTGACACTGAAGACTGGAGTTATGGCTGTTGAAAATCCAGCTTTGTATCACAGAAATAAATGATATTTTTAAAATAGAAAAACATTTTAAATGGTAATAATATTTTTCTGTATTTTTGATCAAATAAATGCAGGCTTGATCACATAAGAGACTACACACAATAGGCCTGTAGGTCGCGCCTGTGTTTCATTTAACCAACTATGATAGTTTGATTAAATGGTAAACGCATCAATATACATAGACTAAATAAAAAGTGACTTTAATACTAGACCTACTTACCAGTAATGTGACTTTTGGTGCTGGTTTTGTGCAATGCTTTGTAGTCAATTAACATACATTGTTTAATTCAGATCACTTCATAAATGTTAATTCGTTTGTCCATCTATTTTCAAACGATTTATGAATGACTGGAAAATTACCGCTCCACTTCACATTGTCTAATGAAATTTTTAACTTCTTGTGCCAGATAACGATTGGTCGGTGTATTATACATTACAAACAGGCTTCAATGAATTCTGTAATATTTTTAATTGAATCGACGCACTACCTTTTATTATTGAAAAAAACAAAAACATTTTGTTCATTCCTTCCTGCCGTCGAGCAATATACTCACTGAAATAACTATATTTGGCTCGAGAACATCAGTTCCCGAGCAGACTGTGGAATACCTATGTTTACACTAGTGCATTGTCATTTTAAAACACATAACTTTTGCTACGGTTACGCCTGCCGTCCATACATTAGCCTACTCCAGAGTTTTAGACCCTCGTCCGAAGCAAGACACAACAAACTTGACTCAAGTGACGCAACCCATAGCAACGCGTTGCGGCAACGACACCTCAGATTGACAGAAACGTAAAAATAGACGTGAATTTTCCCGCTTCGATGCTTCACTGGTTATTTGACGGACATTGGGTCCGTCACACTGGAGAAATGTTAGCGGTAATGTGACCAGAAATATTTAAGACCCATCGAATCTGAATTTAAGACATTTTAATACTTTTTAAGGCCTTTTATTAGGAAAACTTTATTTAAGACTTTTTAAGGACCCGGGGCCACCCTGGTATTCAAGATGCTACTGTAAGTTGCTGTGTGAACAGGACATTTCGAGAAACCTGTAAGTAAATGCGGTTGTCAATCCCAAAAGCTGACAGTGTGAAGTGAACATGGCTGTAGTGAGCTGTCAATTATTCTCTAGCCTAATTATGCTGAAAATCTAAGGGAGAAATTATCCTTCACAGAGAATGCAGTCGACAAACAAGCTCAATTCCCAATCAAACAAGTAGTATATACTATTACTATATTGAATATATTTTAAAATGTATTTCTTCCCCGTTATAAACTACATTTTCAGCATCATTACTCCAGTCTTCAGTGTCACATGATCCTTCAGAAATCATTCTAATATACTGATTTGCTGCTCAATAAATATTTCTTAATTATTATTATCGATGCTGAAAACCTTTGTGCTGCTTAATATTTATGTGGAAACCGTGATACTTTTTTCAGGATTCTTTAATGAATAGAAAGTTGAAAAGAGCAGCATTTTTTTATTAAGTCGAGTCTTTTGTATGCTTTACATGAGCAGTGCTATTTACGGTATGTAATGCTGCTTATGTAGCGTTTCAAATCAGACACTTTTATGAGTTGCCTTAAATGGCAGCCGTCTATGCAGACTCACTAAATAATGGAACAGAGCTATTGTGCGTCACTTTTGAAATAAAATATGCTCAATTTGGGTACAACTCACTTGTTTCTGTGTGATGTTGAATCGCATCCAATCGTCTCTCAGCGACTTCATCTTCGCCTGGAAGGAAAAATGACATTCAACACAATTATGAAATACTGTATGAAATACTTAAATGGTATTTTATGGAAATATGTTTTAGGTTTTAAAGGTCTATATCAATTTTGTTATAAACCTCAAATATATCAATAAGCTAAATGCAAACAGCTAAGATTCAATATCCGGTCTCCAAAAATAAATATATTATATCCCTTGCAAAAATCAGTAAGATTATTTTTTTAAATAAATTTACACTTATTCAGCATATGACATTTATGTTGTCACAAAATATTTCAATAAATAGAATAAATGCCATTCTTTTGAATGTTCTATTAATCAAAGTGTCCTGAATTATTTTTTATCCCTGTTTCCACAAAAATATTACTGTTTTCAACATTTATAATAATCAGAAATGTTTCTTGAGCAGCAAATCAAGTCAAGTCAAGTCAAATATATTTATATAGCGCTTTTCACAATACAGATTGTATTACCAGCATACCAGAATGATTTCTGAAGGATCATGTGACACTGAAGACTGGAGTAATGATGCTGAAAATTTAGATTTGCATCACAAGAATACATTACATTTGAAAATATATTCAAATAGAAAACAGTTATTTAAAATTGTAATAATATTTCACAATAGTACTGTTTTTACTGTATATTTGATCAAATAAATCCAGCCTTGGTGAGTATAAAAGAAAATATTTAAAAATCCTACAGACCCCAATGGTAATGTATGTTCAATTTTAGATAAACTAAATCTTGGTGTTCATCTTCACCTGCATAGTAGTTCCTTTTGCT